GGTGCTGGGGTGCAGGTCAGTGGTAGGGTACCAGCATGAAGCCCCGAGTTCCATCCCCGGCATCGAGAGATAGAAAAAAAAAAAAAGCAGCAGCAGCCCAGGCCTGGCTCCTGCAGACAATGCTGTTCTTGCTTTTCTTTTGGCTCAGTTCTGGGAAACACTAAGGGGGAAGGGCCTGTCCTGTGCGAGGATGGACACCAGGGAACACGCTTGTGTTCCCTGAACTTTGAGACTGGCTGCACTCACATAGTGAGCCCTCCATATAGCCCTAGCTCTGTGCTGCGCTCTGACCTGCCATTTACCTCAGGCCAATGCCCCTGATGTCTCCAAAAATACAGATGAGAAAACTGAGCCCAGGAGCTCAAGTGACTTCCCTAAGATCACATCGGGATTCAGAACAAGGATCTGGTCCCGGACTTACAGACTTACAGAGCCTTGGAGCACCAGGAGGAGGCCTCTGCTGAGGGGTAGGGCCAGGCTCTCTCATTTCTCCCAGCAGTCACTGGGAGGTGAGGCTCAGCAGAGAGCTGGAGATCACTCCACTTATTCCTCGCAGGGACCCTGCTTCTAAGACTTACTGTCCTTACTTGACGTCTATGCTCATTTTCAAAGCCTAGAACTGTGGCTGTGTCTTTCTTCCTACACTCTTCTCCCTCTTGGATGGACAGGAAATTTAGTATGATCACCTGCTCTTTTGGAAATGTCCCAGCTTAGTGGTGAAGGGTAGCCTGTTAATAGCATGACAGTGCCCAGTGACAGACAGGACACTTAAAGGACAGTGGCGGGGGGTGCAGGGGGGGAAGTCTGGGCTGTCTGTCCTTTCTGTGGCAGAATTAGAAAGAGCCACAATGCCCAGATGTCTAAAGCTTGACTCAGCAACATTTATAGTAAACTGGTCTTACCTTGGACTTGACAGTTCACCAACCAAGATCGCATGCTTGACCTCCTTGCATCCTTCTGAGAACCTCCTGTGGGCTGAATTGTTACCAAGCCTTCCCTACAGATGTGACTCACAGACCAAGTGACTCCCCCAAGTTCACACAACTAGTAAGCATAACCCAGGTGTCCAGAAGCCCCCAGGTCTCGACTCACATCTGGAAAACTTCACAGCCCATCCACTACCCACTTCGTCCTTTGTTTGGGCTCAGCTCAACCCCACAGTCACTCCTGCCCCCAGAGAGTCCCCATCCTGGTACATGGCATCTCTCTAGGCCCGTGGCCTCTAGTGCTACCAGAGCCACATGTGCTGTGAGCTCTTGGGAACTGCCATTCTGGTGGAATGTCTGACCCTGCAGGTGGCCAGCAGAACTCACCATCTCGGGGCTCAGTTTAGGATAAGGTGGGAGGTGGGCTCTGGGCCCTGCTCATTCATTCCTCTGGCCATCTGCAGATGCAGACACAAATGAGACACTCTCCTGTCCCCAAGGAGCCTTGGAGAACACCCACTATCTTGCTTCCTAGTGTTCCCTGGCCACCCAGAGCCCTGATGTGTCTTCACTCCCTCAGAGGGTGGGATTCATGGGCCTGGAGCCTGGCTCTAAAGCCCCCACGTAGAGTACTTTCCCCACAGTGGAGAACAGGCCCTTCCCCTGAGTCCCGGGAGCTCGGCCAGTGGCTTGGTATCCTGGGGATCTTCCGAGCTGCTCAGCAGAGTTTGGCCCAGCCCATGGAAGGGTTCCAGGTGGTTCCCAAAAACAGAGAACCCAGGAATGAAGAGGCCTCTGTCCGGAGGCAAGAGAGTCCTGACCTGGGTCATTGGCCCCCAAACTATTGACATCAAAGCACTGGTGACACCTGGAGGTGTGTATCCCAAGACCCTAGATGATCTCTGTCTCATCCAAAGGAGGGGGCGGCTCCAGGATAAAGACTGGAAGGCAGAGACTGTGCTCATGGGAAGGGGCCTTGAAGACCAGGTCATTTCAGAAAGGGAAATGAAGGCAAGGGTATGGCTAAGTGGTAAAGCATTTGCCTAGGACACTCTAGGCCCTAAGTTTGATCCCCAGCACTGGAAAATAGAAAAATTTTAAAAAAAGGAAATGATGTGCCCAGAGCCATATTTTATGGCAAACACCAGAGTAAAATGAGGGTGGCTTCCAACTTTTCTGTAAGGAAGTGGAATTGGCCAGTCCTTTTAGGACTGGGGCAAAATAACATGTAGAAAAATCCTGATGTTGTAACAACCCCTGAGAGGAACGGAGGGCAGGTTAGGGAAGGGCAGGCCCATGCAACTGCAAGATCCCTGTGCCCAAGTCCCAAAGGCAGGCCCCAGCGGCCCCTGACAGGCAGAGACACACGCCCAGGCCTAAAGGATTATAGGTCAGGTTACACTAAAGGTGCAGTTAAGACCTCAAATCCCTCCCCAAAATCTGGGGCTTAGAGCTTGCCAGAAATTTCCAGGTAAGTATTTCAGCCTCTAATTCTTCACTTTGTTGGGTTTCTCTGGTTATCCAATATAGCACTAGCCTAAACCTTAGCTGCAGTGGATTCTTAGAGAGGAGTCCACAGGTTTGGGATTCTGAACAGCAAGGGAAAATGAGAACTGTCTTTTAGTCAAGGGCCACCCCCTGAGTGCTAGGCAGCGGGCTAGACCATGAACTGGGCTCCTCCCCCGGACAGTGAGTGTATGTCCACGTCAGGTACCCTGAGGAAAGGGGCTGGCCTTGATTGTCAGTGACCAAGACAAACCTCTGCTAAGGTTAAATGTTTGTGAAAGGTGCTAGAATTTGAATAATGGGTGGAGGAACTGCAGGGGGCCTGAAGAGTTTGTCCTGGAGGTATGCTTGATTGACGTGCAAAGCCAAACCCAGACACCTGTGAAAAAAAAAACAGCCCCAGTGATAAGCAAGAGAAAGCCAAGCCCACTGGCCAAGCCCTAGATCACCTGTAGGAAATGACTCTGTTCCCTGGAGTAAGAAGGGGACAATATGTCCCCTTCCCCAACTGGAGATGGACTGCTGGCTCCTGGGTTGGGTTGGTGTTAAAGAAAAAAGGATCTTTTTGGAGGAAAAAAAAAAGGAAAACAAATTGCTAATGACGGGCCCTAAAAAAAACAAGATAACTTGTTCTGCCTGGAAGGAAATAGGTGAAAATCTGGAAAGAATTTTTAGAATAGAATGAGACTTGTGCTGCCAAAGAAAAGGTCCTGAATTCCAGGAGTGAGGGAGGTGCCAAGCTGGGAGCAATGCAGGGGATGGACTGGGCCACTAATGGTGCAGAGGTAACCAGTAGATGGCCTGGAGCCTGCTGTAGGCTTTAAGCAGCTCATTCAACAACCGTCCCAATAAGGGAGGCAAAGAGGTACTGTGCCCATTTTACAGATGGGAAGCTGAAGGTTAACTCGTGGGCTAATAAATGACAGAGCTGGAATTCCAAGGCAGGGATGCCTCCTCCAATCCTCTCTAACCTGCCAGTCCAGGAGTTCCATAGCAGCCCAATCCAGTAACAGGTCATAATAACAACTTCCTCCTTTTGGCCTCTGCTTCACATTCACAAAGCCCTTTACACCATTTTTTTTTTTTTTTGTGCTGGGGTTTGACCTCAAGGTTTACACCTTGAGCCACTCCACCAGCCCTTTTTTGTGATGGGTATTTTGGAAGTAGGGTCTCAAGAACTGTTTGCCTGGGGTTGGCTTTGAACCTTGATCCTCCTGATCTCTGCCTCCTGAGTGGCTAGGATTACAGACATGAGCCACAGGCTCCCGGTGTGTCTCTTCCATCTTGACCACCTTCAGGTGAGCTAGAAGCAGAACTCACACTCCTTGGATCAGGAAAGCCAGACTAGGGTGGAATGAGGAGGAGGAACAACTTCCCCATATCAATCCAGCCAAGGTTGGAACCCATGATTTCTGGGTTGCTCTGAATCCGTATCTAGCCACAGTGTCTAATTATTTGTTGTTAGTGCTGGGGATTGAACCCAGGGCCTCATGCATGGTAAGCACTGTGCTTTGCCACTAAGCTACGCCCCTAGCCCCCAGTGCCTAGTTTTGAATTTGACAGCACTATTACATTTCAAGAGCCGGTTGCTCTCTGAGGCAGAGGGAAAGGGAGAAGTGAAGTCGTGAGAAGGCGGTGTTTCCAAAGGAAGCTGAAGATGGGGCTGTGGAACCCCAGGTTATGGCGCTGGCCACCTCCACTCCTACTTTGAGCTGCAAATGGCAAGAGAGCTTTCTCTTGGTGCTGGCTCCACTTTTCTTTTCTTGAATAGTTCAAAGCCGCATTTGTTACTTTTGTGACAGTCATTCACACCTGGACACTATTCCTCTGAAGAGAAGAGCCCAATGCCTGCTTCTCATAAGACCAGGTCCTGGGACTCAGGAGTTAATCTCCCTTGAAGTTCCGGGAAGCAGTTTAGTCTCAGCGGATTCTTCTGAGCAAAGACTTGGGTATGCTCAGTGATCGCACGATCAAAGACAGGTCCACCCTGCTGAGACCCTTCCTTTGCCCAGTCCCGGCCTGGCCTCCGGCCGGCCGGCTTTTCCTGCCCTCGGTTTCCAGTAAGAGTCTGGCACGCACTCCACGCCGGCCATTGCACGTCCTCTGACGCTTGTCTCCAGTCAACCCAGGAGCCAGGAGGTCCTGGACAGAGAGTAGGAGTGAGAAATGCCACCTGGGCAGGGGTTTTTGTTTTCTTGTCATTGTTCAAAATGGGGAAGAGCCTTAAGAGGGCCTCGCGCCAAGCCCTCGGAAACAGACGCGCCCCTGGCTCCGGGGAACCCCACGTCGGGTTTCGCTACGAGAACGCAGGGTGGGGTGTGGGGAGTGGAGACGCGGGGAAGCCTGGCCCGCCCAGGCCGCCCCACATGGAGATCAGAAAGTCTCAGGCTTTCAGATTTGAACCGAGGAGGCCGAGCGGCCGGGCCGGGGCTCCCGGCCACCATTGGCTGCGGCGGCGGCGTGACTTGGGCTCGGAGTTGGGCGGGGGAGGGCGGGGAGGAGCCTGGGAGGGGAGTGTCCGAGCGGCTCCCGGCACCCGAGCCCGAGAGCGAGAGCGAAACAGACGCTGGCGCTGCCATGGGTCGTCCGTCCCGCCGCGGAGCGGAGCCCACCGAGGGGAGCGCGCAGCCTCGTCTGCCCCGCGCTCGGGGCTCTGGGGGCCGAGGTAGGCGACCGGCACTCGCTTCTGGCCGTGAAGCCGCGTGAGGCCTGGGTGGGCTCGAGCCCTGCCATGGGGCGGAGAGGATCGAAAGAGCTGGGGATGGGGAGGGGGGCGGGATGAAGGGCGCGGACACCCCCGGTCCCCGGCACCCGCCGCTTCTCATCACCGCGCCCTTCTCGGGGAGGCTGGGCTGGGGCCAGGGCGGCTCGGGTGCCCGGGACCCAGAGCCATGCATCGTGTCCCAGAAGAGCGGGTTGTGGGGAAGAAAGGGTGGCTGAGACCTGGGCTTTCCTCTCCCCGTTCTGGGAGCCGCTGGTCTGGTCACCCGTGCTGCTCGGGGTGGGGTGAGGGGGCAGGTTTTAAAGGTCCACCCCTTGCCCAGGAATGGGGTGTGTGTCGGTGTGGGCTGGAGCGCAACAATCGGCGCGCAGCCCGCGGGCTCCCCGAGGGGGGCGTGTGTGCGCAGAGTTCTCCATGAATAAGAACCGGAGTATTCGCCTGTGGGCAGAGGCGCGTACACACGCTCTGGCTCTCGTACACACACACAGCAGTACACGCCACCCAATGTCACCCGGCCGGGGAGAAAGAAGGAAAGGAGCTGCCTGAAAGGGAATGGCCTAAGGAGCAAATACTCCTCCGCCCCCTGGAGCCCTTCCCTCCCCCGCCAGGCTCCAGCCCCGCCCGCCTCCCTCGGAAGACTTGGAGGCCAAGGCCGCGAGAGGCCCAGGCTCCTCTCGGCGGGGTGGAGCCCAGCCGAGCTTGGCGGCTCCTTTGGGACCGACGAGGTGGTTTTGCGCTGGGGGCCGCGCGCGGGGTGCGTTCAGCGGGCGGGGAGCGGTCGGTTAATGATTTAACAACCCGCTTGGGACGTTTGAGCTCCGATCGCGGCCTCTGGCTCCGCCCCCTTCCTGGAGCGCCCCCAGCCGGAGACATTAAACTGCCCCTGGCCGGTGGTGCGTCCCCAGGAGCTGCCCTGCAGGGAACCGGGCTGCTGCTGGTGAGTGGCCTGGCCCGGGAGGACTGAAAAGTGTGTGTGTGTGTGTGTGTGTGTGTGTGTGTCAGACAGACAGACAGACAGACGGGGAAGGCGGGAGGCGGAGGCTCTCTGCTAACTTAAACCAGGTTCCTTGTGTTCGCCCAATGCGATACTGCGGCCTGGGCTTGGAAGTTTTCTTTTTTCTCCCTGGGAAAATGGAGGGGAAATACAATGCTGCCTTTTTTCCTTGTCTGGGAACTTCTCCCATCTCCACCACCCTACCCCTTGCAGTCTGACCGGCTCCCATGTCCCTAGTTGGGTCTTAAGCGCCCATTCTTTGCCCAGGTAACTGAGCAATAGAATGGGGGAAATAGTCCTTGAGGGTTCCTTCCAGTGAGGCCCGCTGCCCTCCCTAGAGGTACTTACCCTATCCTTACCCCCCGCAGCCATCTGGACCAGAGAAGCCTCCCCTGATCCAGGGAGCATAAACAATGAGGGGCCCTGGTGCAGGGGGCCTCTGCCATACAACTTCTTTGCACAGTCTGGGTTTCTAATAACTGCAGCAACTCCCGCCCCCTTTCAGAGGCTGGGCTGGAGGAGGGGATCACCAGCAGGATGGACTGAATTTTAAGAGAACAAAGAACAGGCACAAAGGAAGGGGGATCTGATTTAACCACCCACTTGGGGTATGAAATGGGGGTGTTCTGAAGCAGAGCCAGGCCTCTGGGCAGCTCTGGGACCCTAGGCAATAATGGGGCATTCACCCGGATCTTGTGAGGTGCCATCCCTGCTGGGTAGCTGGGATCCTACTGAGTGTGGGGGTGTCCTGTGCCATGAGCTTTCATCAGCTGCCTTGTATGACTGATTTAGTGTGGTTTATCTTCACACTCTCCACTTGAACTTCACCTCTCCACTCCTTGAGGCAGCTGCTCCTTCCCACAACAGGAAACCTTGGGATACATGAAGAGGGTCTTCCTTGGCCTCCCAAGGGTGCTGATGATCCCCACAGGGACTAGGAGGGAGCTGGAATGATAAAGAGAGCCTGCTTCCAGGAAGTAGTGGTTTGGGGTGTCTCAGCACGTTCTCCCACAGATGATCTGGAGTTCCCAGGGTCCCTGCTCAATGAGGACTGATTCGTCAATTTCTGTATATTTCAGACCTCTGCTTTGAACATCTCTATTTTTTCTGGGGTTTCTGCCCCTCTGGGGATTGAACTCAGGACCTTGCTTGCTTGCTAGGCAGATGCTCTACCACTTGAGCCCCCTTTCCTCTCTTTTTTAACCCTTCTTCTTCCCCCCCCCACTTCCCCAGTTTCTCTCTCATACGTGCTCACCCACACCAATGCTTGTCCCAGTCCAATGTGTACACCCAGTGTACTTCTGTCTTCTTGCCTCTTGGAACTGACAGGCGACACCTCACCGCCTGGAGAGCAGGAGTCATGAGGAGGAGAGCATGAGTCATGAGGAGGGTCTCATCTATAAAGCCGGGGTGCAAGGGTAGGGTGGGAAGATGTTGACCTGGGAGAGGCATCCCCAGGAAAGAAGAGACTCTTAAGTCCTGAGCTTTTCTAGGAGGACTACAGATTGGCTCTGGTTCAGGGATTCCTGCCCCCTGCCCCTTTGGAGTGGTTGATTGATTTCTGTGGCCAGGACAGGCTGTGCCCAGCTGTGACAGGCAAGGTGTTTGATGTAGGCACCTCCCCTTTTCCCTCTCTTTTCCTTTATCTCTGCCCCCACCCAATTTGGGAGTGAATGGGTCTGAAGCCAGTGTGTCAGAATGGCTGTGGGGCAGCAGCAACTCCAGCCTGCTCTGGCTGGACTTCCCACAGACTCAGAGGCGCTTGTCCCTATGTGGGGGAGGAGTCTGTCCCTTGGAGGAACAGGGTAGCTGGGTTGATGCCAGCAATAAGGCAGGGGTGGAGAATAGTTGAGCAATCTTGTCCCGAGAGCAGAGAGAACTGACCTGAGCCATGCTAAGATCCTCTGACCTGTGTACTGGAGACTTTTCCTCAACCTTGGGAAAAAGGATCAAATCTCAGAGCCAGGGGACAATGAGGGGTGGTCCCGCAGATGGTCCAGACCACCAAATCCAGCCAGTAATTCCGAGGTGTTCCCGGAAGGCTAGGCACATGCCAGCCAGCCTCTCTGGGCAGGGCCTGGATGGCGGTTCAGGGAGGAGCTGGAGAGAGTGGCTGGACATAGGCCTGCCTTGTCCACGTGGAGGAAGTTCAGTAACTAGCTTCCCACATTCCCACTCACCATGCCCCTGAGGCCCCGGCTTACAGTTGCCTCCAGTAGGAGTCTTGGGCTTCCTTCCAGCTGGCTAGCGTTGGAGCCTCCCTGGGAACTGGCAGCGCGCTACTCTGGCTTCATGCCAGAGTAGCAGCATTGGCACCCAGAGCCGTCCTTTGCCTGGAACAGGAGAACTGGTGTTCTCTACTCTGCCTTCCAAGCTGAGGAAGGTTCTCCTTTTTGGGGACTCAGGCAAGAGTGGTTTGGGAGTATCATGAATGCAGACCTGGTGTTTCTCCTTCCTTCATATCAGGGCTCAGGGCATCTGAAAAGCAGCAGTCCAGGGCAAGAAGGACCTGTGGGCATCTGGGTGCTCTGCCACAGTTGCTTCAACCCCCATCCTCTTTCCTTGGGTGGTGGATGAGGTCAACTGGGGCAGCCTCCAGCTCCCTTCAGGAGTCTCTGGGTTCTCCCTTTACCTGTGTCCACACAGTAACTTGATCTGGATCCCAGCTGTGGTTTTTCCCAAGTTGTGACAGTAAAGCCAGTTCTATGTTCCCACTTCTCCATCTCCCCTTCCTCTCAGTACTACAGGTTTCTCTCTGGTCCCTACTCAGTGTAACCCTCCCCTTTCCTTGCATTGTTGCCCCTAGCCCCAAAACACCAGAGAAGGGACACCCCTGCCCCCATGGAGTTTAAGGTGAGGAACAGAGAGCCCAGAAGGCAGGTAGTGAGCAGAGGCGCAGTGTGTGGACACCTATCTGGGTAGGTGCAAAGGAAAAGTCTGTTGAAGTTTTGCGCCTTGTTTGTTGATGGTAGCACCCAGCATCTCCCAAATTCCTGACTTATCTCACCCTTGTCCTGGGGAGGAATGAGGAGTTTTTCTCTCCTCAACTCCACCTTATCGAACTGAAATCAGGAGCTTAAATCCTGCCTGAGAGAAGCCAGACTTCTCCTTCCTGTATCATTAAAGGTCAGAGGTGAAGAAGGGAGGAGAAGAAGCGAGTCCAAGGCTGCCTGACCCCACTGCTGGGAAGGACTGCAGCGGGAGGACAGAATCTATACCTGCGTGTCAGGGACTTGGAGGATCCTGCCAATCCAGGGATCCCCAGGACTGGGAAAGGGGCAATTCACACTGCACCCTGGAGCCTTTTGGATTAGTTGTGTCTGGGTGTGTGTCCTGGGCTAATAATGGGTCCTGTTTAAAATTAGAGGAGTGACAGGAATGGCTAGTAGCCACTTCTAGCACTGGGTATGCTCGAAGTCTGCCCTACACCTCTATAGGCATGGGCACCTGCTGAGAGAGAGAGCTCACAGCATCACCTGTATAGTATAGTATGGTGTTATGCTAAGCTCTTCTTATATGTTATCTTATTTAATTCCCACAGTAACACTAGCAGGTATTTGAGGTTATCAATTTCTGTGAAAGCTCTTGAGGAAACTGAGGCACAAGTAATGGGCCTGATGTGGCAAGCCAGCTTGTAACTTGGGGAGTCTGGCTTTTGCTCTCTAAGCTCTGGCAGGGCCAGGACGCACTGGAGGGAGCCAGATCTGCCACCCCCCAGACTCCCTCTGGAGACCCCAAGGTGTCTTTGTACCTCACACTCCTCAGGCTGAGCTCTGGCTCCTAGGAGAAGCAAAGTGAAACCAAACAAGACCTGGCAGATCTGATTTCAAGCCCAATGGCTTCCTTCAAAGACAGTGTAGGGGCCCATTTGTCCAGAAGTAAGGCAATCCACAGCCCAGAGAGGCCTGTCCTCTCTGTGGGGCAGTCTGGCCCCAAGCCAGGTACTCTT